AGGGGTATCCATCCGTCCACCTTTGACAGCCCTCTGGGTTCTGGACTTCTCTGCCACAGGACTACCTCAAGAAGCTCTAGGGAGCAAAAGAGAGACCTGCAGAACAGTTAGATGCAGGGCGCTGCTCTCCTCTGTGACAAGGCACCCCACTACCATTTCATCCCCATAGACCCCCAGGACACAGCCCCAGAATCCATGAAAGGTACTCGGAGGGACTCAGGTGAGTCATGTGACCTGTCCCGGCTGTGAGGTTCTCCTTGTCCTGGCTCCAGTTTTCTCTAAGGGGGCTGTCAATTCAAAGAGGAGGAGCCCAGTCCCAGTCAGGACCGGGGCTTGCTTCAGCAAGATACAGAAATGGGAACCCGCACCATTCCCACCGTGGAGACACCAAGAAGCAAACAAAAAAATACCCATGAAATACACAAATAGGTCAATTCTGCCGTGCCTTAGAAAGCAGGGAAGAGGATTCCAGGCAATGGGGGACCAACATGTGCAAAGGTTCTGAGGTGAGAAGGTACCTGTTGAATTCAAGGAATAGCGAGGGGTTCCACAATGAGTGAGGGTGAAAGGGTGGGCCACGAGATCAGGGAGGTCTTGGGGGTCTGATTGGATGGGGGGGTCCCATAAGCTACCAGGAGGACTTTCTCCCTCTGATCCCTCGGACAGGAGGGAGGCAAGTTTGTCCATGCCCTCCAGGGCAGACAGCTAATCCAGGATGTGCCAGGGGTTAAGGGGTCCATCTACGACTGGGTTGGTGGTCCCCAGCAGGGATTTGGGTTTTCTGCCACCAAGCTCAATGGTGCCCACAGTGGGCCTTCTCTTGGCTCCCCCAGCAGCCTCAGGACCCAGTCGCCCTTGTTCCCAGTCCCAATAATTAAAGGTGGACATTAAGAAGCCCTGTTTTAAAGATGGGGAGTCCAGAGAGCAGCTGGGGCTGCCCTGGGTTTTGGGGATTCACTTCTGATAGAAAGGCTTGCTCCTTAGGCAGCTGCTTGGGGGGCAGCACTAAGGTCTGGGGAGGGTGTAAGATGCATCATGCCAGTGGTGCCCCACAACTGGCTGCAAAATGCTGATTCCCAGGCAGAGGCTCTGGGCATTCTGAGGACTCTATCTGGGATACAGCCCAGGAATCTGTTCCTATTTGACAGGTTTCCGAGTAACTTTCAGTTCACTGGGGTTCTGATGATGCCTCTGTGTCATCAGGCCCTTACAGTCCTCAACCGGTGACCTGGAGGCACCAATATGTATCCACACCCACCTGGAGGCCAGAGGGGACTGAGCATCAGGCTTCAGGGAGGGCAAGGAGGAAGATACCCACACCCACCTGGCACACAATTTTGGGTGCAAGCCCTAAGTGTGAAGTGATAGAGGCCCTGGGGTGTGCTCCTCTCCTGCCAAGCAGGAAGAAGTGGAAGTAGGGACCTAAGAGAATGTGACTGTCTGACCAACGGGAAAAAGTGTGTAGGGGGGGAGCCCTGTCAGTGTGATCCTTGGCATGGATAATCGGATGGATGGAAAGAAGAGTGGTTGGACGGATGGATGAATGAGTGGATGGATGGATGGATGGATGAATGAATGAATGGAGGGATGGATGAATGAATGGTTGTTTGGGCCGCAAGCAGCCTAAAAAGGGGCGGGCTAGAGAAACACTCAATCACAGCCCTGGGGCTAGGTGACCGCCAGCTCGCTCAGAATCCGGCTTGCCGCGGCCCCGCCCGGGGCACGTAATTATGTGCCCCTGGGGCGCTGGAGTGACTCCCCGTACTCGGGCGAACTGGGGTCGCGCCACCGCCGCCGCCCCACACCACGCTCTGGCCCTTAGCGCGCGGGCAGGCCTCCCCTCGGCCGCAGTACAGCCCCAAGGCCCCCAGTCTTCTTTGTCTCGACCTAGTCCTTGGCTCTTTCCCGGTTGCGACCCGCCTCTCTGGGTGGCCTTACTCGCGTGCTTCTGGGCTCTCCGGGAGTCGTTCCCTGCTGTCCCCATGGCCGTAGGCGTCTTCCCCAGCCAGGCAGGGGCTCTCAAATCCTGTGCCTCTAGGACCTTGGAACCGGGAAGTGGCAGGATCTCCGCCGAGCTGCGTCTCTGGTGCGGCGAGGGGAGCCGCGGAAAGAAGCCCCCCCCCTTTCCCTCCGCCTTCCCCTTCCTCCGTTACTACACGTCGCGCTGCGCCCTGACCCCAGCGCAGCGTGTTCGCGCCTTAAGCGGTTCTTCTGCGGCGGTGCGATCCCCGACGCCACGAGGGCTAGCCCCCGCCCTCCAGGCCTCAAACCCGCACAGAGAACACAGCCCCACGGCCGCCGGCGGCTACAGACCATTGCCTCTGGCCAGCCCACAGACCGCACAGGCGCACTGCCCCTCCATGCGCAGCCCACAGCCCCACACAACCGTCAGCCCACTCGCAAACAAGCCCGCACGGGCACAAGGCTCCCCCGGCCCCACGCAGGCACAATCCCGTACACACATGCACAACCCCACACAGGCGCAGTCCCACCCACGCAGCCACACTACCCCCTACAAACAATTGCACACAAACACACCACTCCACGCAGACACCGCATCACTCAGTCCCGCCGAGACCCAGAAGCACATTCACAAGCTAGTATCCAGCTGCCCCCAACCCGCCCTCCGCAAGCCCGTGACATTCACACGCAGAGTAAACCAGAAATCTACAGCCACACTGATCCACACAAGGACCTCAACGCACAACCAAAAGCTTACCCGCGGGCTCCTAAGTCACTGAAAAATATTAAAGCGTTCTGTCCCTCCCCTTCGCTCTTTGACGCGCGCGCGCGCGCGCGTACACACACACACACACACACACTCTCACTCACACCCCCAGTCCCTGAGCGCCTCGGAGCCTCGCAGCCGGTGACCCCGAGCCCCAGCGGTGAGAGCCGCGGGAGCGTCTCCCCGGCGCCCCCTCCTCCGGCTGCCTCTACAAGCTCACCACTCCTCCCCGCCTTCTCGTTCCCCGCCCCTCCCCCTCCCCTCCCCTCCCCCGCGTCTGGGGCGCGGGCTGCGCGCAGCCAAGCCCCCTCGTCGCGCGCCCCTCCCCGCGCGCGCCCCGCGACCGCATCGCGCTCGCCGAGTGGATGCGGCCACGGGGCCGTCTCTAATTACCTCCTGTCCCCCGGCGGCCCGTGAATAATGGCTACTGAGGGCGCTCGCAGGGGCTGCTGAGAAGGAAACGCGGGGCGCGGGAGGCGCGGCGCGCGCGGGAGCGCGAGGGAGAGGAGCGAGCCCCCGGCCGCTGCGAGCGGCGGGCGGAGAGAAAGGAATCGTGCGAGCGCTCACATTTTTTTCCTCCCAAGGACCTCATCTGGCCGCCGCGTTCTGGAAGAGGAGAGGGGGAGAGCGCGCGCGAGAGGAGAACAGAGACGGCGGTGGAAAGGGAGACGTCGAGACGCGCAGCGCCGGCGCCCCGGAGACCCAGGAGGAGCCCGCAGGTATTGTTGGTGGCGGAGCTTTGTGTCCTCGGTAGGCCGTTCTGGGCGCGAGGGCTCCTCGAATCCTCGGCCCGCCGCCGTGCTCAGACCTGCCCCGAGTCCTGGGTTGCCGACTAGGGTCGCCACCCGCCGCGGCCACCCCTCCCGCCGCGCCGCGATCTTGGCTGGAGTTGCGGATTTGCCTGATTTGGGGTTTTCCACGCTGGTGAAGGGAATCGGTCTCAGGAGAAGGAATTTCTTTTTTTCCTTTTAAAAAAATTTTTTTGGCCGCAGTTTGGTTGTGCTGGGGATTCCCTCCTCCCTTTTCCTCCACAATGCATTGGTGAGCGGTCTTGGCGACAGTGGCCCAGGCGGAAGGCTTGGGGCCGAGATGGCGGGGCTGGTGGCCGCGGAATGGGAGGTGAGGAATGCTGGAGAAGGAAGGAGTTCTGTTCAAGTTCGCCATCTGCGCCCCGGAGCTGCTCGGGCCAGGGAGGGCGGTCCGCGCACCCGGTCCTGCTCCGGGCAACCGGTGGGAAACTTCCCGCGAGCGCGGCCTCCCGGGGGACTCGGCGCCCCCGACGTCTCCCGGCGCTACCTCCGGCCGCCGGGGCCCCTCCTTGCCGCCCTCAAGTGTTTAAGGTCGCGCTTTCCCCACCCCCACCTTCCTCCCTCCCCCAGCGGCTTCCGGATCTGGACAGAGCAGCTTCAAACACTTCCCTCGGAGACCCCTCCCCATTGCCCGCACAGAGCTTTCCCGGAGCCCCCCTGCCCTGCGTCCCGGTCTCGCTCTCGGCGGAGTGGCCCGGCTGACAATGAAATCTCGCGCCTCTGCCGTGGGGGGGGGGAGGGGGTCGTGGCTCAGTCCCTCCTGGGGCCGTTGACCCTGGACCCCGGGCAGGGGGAGGGGGAACACTCTGGGAAGGGTCTTGTTTGGGTTGGAGACGTTGACGTGGGATGGCGCCAGGGCTGGGGGCACGCGGGGGAGGCGAGGGGCTGGGGTGAGCTGCCGGGGGTCGTGGATTCTCGACCCGCTAGGGCATGGCGATTGGCAGTTGCCCCTGGGCACGTCGAGGGCCCCCTCTAACCTCAGCCTCCTCCCCTCCTGTACAATGCGGGTTTAGAGAGGTGATCCCGAGGGTGATGTGCTTGTGTGACGAAGTGTTTGTCTCCTGCGATCCACAGCAGACACGGCTGTTCTGATGACCCGGAGATCCGGAGGCCTGTGCCCCTCCCTCGGGGGTGGGCAGATGAAGGGGGAGGGCAGTGGTGGGAACAACTTTTTTTTTTTTTCCCACTGGGGTCATGGGAAGGGAGGGTGAGGTCAGAGAATTTCTGGGGACCGCAGTCGTGAAGGGGGGGGCACGGATTTAAGGGGGGGGGTCTGCCGGATCAGAGCCTTCTTGGCACTCAAATCTCCTAGATCCTTTTGCTTCTTTAGGGGTGAACGAGAGAGGGAGGTGTAGAGGTGTGGGGCTAGCTGGACATGGGGGAGGGGTTCATGAAAATCAACCTTAATTGGATTCCCAGGCAGGCAGCCCAGGGGGTATGGGTGGACTCCTCCCCTTTCTTTTTCCTGGGGTGGGGAGCCAAGTCCGGAGACCTCAAGCTCTCAGTCCAGGCTGGTGAAAACCGTCTTCTTCCTACCTAAAAAGAAGATTCCTGGGGGAGTGGGGAGTCATCCTGAAGGGCAGGGGGCTGGACTGTGTTCAGCCTGTTCTCTCCTTCAGTCCAGGAATAGAAAGAGTTAATCCTCCCCCAGAAATCTGTCAGCCCCCCACACAGCAGGGACACATTGTTGGACCCTCTGACATGCTAACAGTGTGACACAGGCTGACAGGAGTGAGCAGATTCCAAACCCTGTATTCCCCCCTTCACAGCAGCCAAACAGGACCTGGCTGGGTGGTTCCTTGTTGGGGGACTTTGGGGGAGGCGGAAATCAGAGCTCAGAGAGCCTCTCACAGCCAGGCTGTGGACTTGTGGTCCAGAGGGAAAAGGGGGTCACCAGCCAAGTCCACTGGGAGCTGAAAGGGTTACGGGGAATGTGAGGTGGAGGAAGAGGGAAGCCCCTTCAACCTTTTGACTAGGCTCTGAAGGCTTCTGGGCCAATGGGTTCCTTTGCTAATATTTGCTCAGTTCCCTACCCCTACCCTCACCACCGTTGGAAGGCCTGGCCCTTAAGGGTAACTTTCTGACCCCTTGGTTGGACTGAGACCCTAGCAGTGGAGGGATAGTTGGGGGAGGGTGGCTGGAGGCAGGATTGATAGCTGCCCATTGCTTGGCCCTGGGGCACAAGCCCTTTAGCCTGGGTTTATTGATGCCACCGTCCCTTCTCCTGGATGGTAATCTCCATTTCCTGTAGGTGACAGCATTTCGCTCAGAGCCCCCCCAGGGCCATGCACACTGCGGACACTCACGGTGTCCTGTGTTTGGCAGGAGTGAATGGATTGGTAACGAATGAATGAATTGATGAATGAAAAAGGAAAGTTTTCTCAATCGGAGGCATCTAGTCATTGTTTAGAAAAAAGAAGTCTTTTTGGATTTGTATGTTTTAAAATGGGGTTCCCAGAGAACCTGAAAAATGGAGAGAAACAAACAAAAAGGGTTATTGACAGCCCTAGCGGGCCCCAGCGACGCTAACGTTTTGATGTGAGTCTTCCCAGGCCAGTTGGACGTGGTGGTTGGTCGGTTTTTTAAGGGCTGTGTCGTCATTCCCTATATTCACATGTATATCCTGCTTTTTTTTTTTTTTTTTTTTTTTTTTGCTGTTGACAGCACCAGCCTTTTCCTGTTTTGTAACCAACTCTTCATAAACACCACGGCTAATGTCTTCAGGCTTTTCCAGTCGAGTGGATGTACCATAATTTACTTAATATTCCCCTTTTGTTCAACATTCTGGATGCTCCTGACGAATGATGTCGTGGATGTGTTTTGTGAGGGAGCCTTTCCTTATGCTTAAGACGATTTCCTCAAAATGCTGGGCTGCTGGTGCCCACAGCTCTGACGGGCCTGCAGTGCCAGGAAGGAGAGCGCCTCTCTTTTTTCCCCAGGATAAGTGGGACACCGTTCTTCCTTCCCCACAATCTAGAAACTTCCACCCGAGCCCAAAAAGGAGCATTGGCGATGAAATCACCTGTCCGACTTCCCTCCTTTGACCGAGGAGGAAACCAGAACTCAGAGAGGGGAAGTGAGTCCCCAAGGTCACACAGCAGTCACTGGGCTGTGCAGCAGTAGCCAAGAACCAGCTACTTAATCTGCCATTTTTTTTTTTTTTTTTGCCTCTGCAAATGGTCCCTGGTGGTCCTCTAGTAGGACCATGCCCATTTCACAGAGAGGGCAACTGAGACCTCAAGGGAGCAAAAGCACCAGCCGATTCTTAGCAGTGCCAAGGCATTCTGTGTCATATACACGTCTGTGTTCTTGGACCTGGGGCCACCCATGGGCTTCCTGTCGCTTTTCAAGCTCCCTTTTCTTTGCCATTCCATCCCCCCCTTCTTAGTGGAGCTGGGGATCAAGCCTGGTCAGCATGCATGTTAGGCAAGGGCTCTACCTGACCTCTATCCCCAGCCCTTGCCATCCCCGTTTCCAGAGGGAAGAGCTGAGGACCCAGAGTAGATGCAGTGAGATGGGGGTGGGGCTGCAGTTTCCAAGGGACCCTGGTGGTGCCTCTTGTGCCTCAGTTTACTTGTTCAGGAGCCAGGGGGCAGGTGTTGGCACAGACCCTGTGTGTGTGGTGTGGGGGAGTGGGGAAGGACCGGGAGCATCTTGAACTCTTCTTCAGGCCTGTGATTGGCCCCTGAGGCCCCCTGGGGAAGAAGGAAGGAAGGAGAGGAGGACTTGGAGAAAGGTAGACAGAGATTCAGATGTTGGAAGGGAGAAAGTGGGGGAAGGAGAAAGTAGGAAAAGAGAAGAGTTATGCCAAAGTAAAGAAGAGAGAAAGATGCCCTCCCCATCCCCCCCTCCTCTGGGTGACATTACTTCCAGCAGGGGTGGGGGGCGCGTCAGAGCTGGCCAGGACTGGACACTGTGGATTGGGCTCTGCAGCTGTTTGGGAGACACATGAGCAGCATCTGAGGGTCAGAAGGAACCAGACTTAAGTGGGTGTCATACAAGACCAGGGGTGGTGGCTTCTCTGTTCTCTGAGTCCCCTGTGGGACAGGAGGCAGGGCACTCCAATTCAGGAGCTTAGGGATATTTGTGGGGTGCAAGGGTCATTGTGGCTCTGAGTCCCCATCTGAGGACAGAGTCTTTTTTGCTCCTTTCCCTGATGGCTTGCCAACCGTCAAGGTTAGGAGAAACCCTGCTATGCGTGTGTCAGTATTTGGACATTTCTGTGATGTGTCTCTCTGCAAGCAGGTGCTCATCTGTATGTGTGTGTGTGTGTGTGTGTGTGTGTGGTGTCTGGGTGTCTCTGTCTTGGGGGGATGTCTGTGTGTGCATATGTGCATGTCTTTGTGCCTCTGAATTTTTTTTTTTTTTTTTTTGTATATTTCTTAAGGGGTCTGTCTGTGTCTCCCAGCTCAGGCATGTGCTGTGCTTACATTGCCTGTGTGTTTGTCTAGGCGAGTCTGTTGTGTTCCCCGTTGTCCTCTGCGTGGGGGTGCGTGCACGTGTCTGGTGCATCTCGGATCCCGCTTGTGCATTTCAGGGGGGTGTGCCCCAAGCTTGTGTGTGTATGTGTGTGTGTGTGTCTGTGTGAGCACACTCTTCCCTCCTAATGGCCCCAACAGAGATCTAGGCACCAGGCTCTTGTGCTCTTCTCAAGGTTGCGGCTGGGTGGCTTAAAACAGGGGACAGCCTTTGGCTGGGAAGGTTGGGCTGGGGGAGGGAAAAGAAAATCTTAAAAGACCATCTTCCTTGTGGTCTCCAAGGAGATCAGCCTGTGAAATGATCCGCACGTTAATTAAAAACGATTATATCCTGATTGAGCCATTCCTGCTCACATCCCCCAGTCGGGGAGAGAATGAGACTGACACCAGAGGATGCAGGGTGGGCCCGGGCCACCACACGGCACAGCCAGAGTGAGCCCCCAGCTCACAGGGGGGGCAGAGGCTCGGAGGGCACGATGCAGCGGGGTGTTTAGGGCCATCTGCCCAAATCAGATTTGAGCTCCTCTTTTGAATTTTCAGGACTCTTCTCCAGGTGGAGTCTGAGGTCTTAGAGGCTGGTGGCAGCCATCTCGGCCACATGGGTCTGCACTTAGGTGCCCAGCACTAGGCCTTGTTGTTTGAACCCTTCCTTCCTGTCTGTGTGTGTGTGCGGTTCCAGTGTCCCGGAGTACGGACATGCTTCAGGTATTGCAGCCAGACTGGACCCAGTTGTCTGACCTTAAAGCCTACAGCCCATTCTTAGCCCCCAACCTTCCCTAGACTCCCACCAGGATCCCCCAGCTCAGCAGGACCCCTGGGAAGTTAGGGCTCACAAGGCCTTTTCATTTTCCAGGGCCTCTGAGATTGTTCCTTTCTGAGATCTAAGCCACACTGGGCAGCTGCAATGTCCTTTTTTGTGTGTGTGTGGGGAACCGGGTGACTCGCTGGCCTGGAACGGCTCTGATCTGACTCATGTCATCTTCACCAGCCTCCCTCCCCATACCCCACCCCCCATATTGGTTGATGATTCTGCAGATCAGCCACAGGTGCCCCTGAGGCCTGCTGGGTATCCTGTACCCACACTCCTGGGCACGTCTGCCAAGTCCTGTCTGGAAAAAGTCCAGACTTGGTCACACTATGCCTTGCCACCTTGTCTTAACCTCTCGTCAACCCTATAAGGACAATGGTGATAGATCCATGGAGTGACAGATACTCAGGTGAACGGGTGAGCTGCCTCTGTGTGCCCAGCCTTACCCAGAAGCAAGATCTCTGGCCGTAAGCAAGGGCTTTTTCTGCTTCTCTGAGCCTCAGCTTGTCTTTTGTGCACTGAGGATCATAACTTTTTCCTGACGGGACTGTCAGAGAGTAAGGAAAACCGAGTCAAGTTGGTTCAAGTAGCCCAGAGGGGCTCGCTCGGGCGTCTGTTTGCCCCGTTGAGGATATGTGTGTGTGTGGCTGCCGCAGGGGTTTTGAGTTTGCTGGCTTCTGGGGAGGGAGATGTAGCAATCCAGTGCTTTCTAGGAGACTATCAGGGGTTCCGGTGACTCATCTCACTATGAACCCGTGTGGGGCTAGTATCTTCACCAGACCCACTCAGGGTTATGTCATCCAAGGTAGAGTGTTTGGGGAAAAAGAGGAGAATGATCCTGCTGGACGGAGTCCTCGTGAGGTTTTCTGGACCTGGTCCCACATTCTCAGAGGGAGGTTGACCAAGGAGTAGGTTTGAAAGCAGGAAGTAGTGTCATGAGGGGCAGGTAGAATGGGAAATATCAGTGTCCACCTCTTCCCCGAGGGCAGAACTGGGAGAGAGGGTAGGCAGATTTCTACTCTTGTCACTAAAAGCCCTTTGGCACTGAAGCCCACAGAGGCCCAGTCATCCATTAGGTCCCACCTCTCAGGAGTTTTTTTGTGACCTTGGTATCTGCCATCCCTCTAACTCTCCCTCACCTGCCTTCCCTGGGGCCTGAAGTGCCTCCATTTGTCACTGCCATGGGTCAGAGCGTTGAAGGCCCTGCTTAAAATGCAAACATGTTACCTTGGAGGAGGGATCACAGAAAGACTCATGTTTGTATAATGCAGGGGCCACCAACACCCCCCCTCCCATGCTCTGCACAGCCGGGCATGTGATGTGGATGAGGGCCGGGAGCCTGCTTTGGACCTCCTGGGTTGTGGCAGCTCAGCCAGGGTGACACACTGGAATGCAGCCAGGGTGCCTGTCACCCACTTTTTCAGGAACCAGGTGTCAGATGTTCCCATGACATGTCCTGGTTTCTATATGCTGTCACCTCATTCAGCAACACAGCTACAGGCCACATTGGGACCCCATGCCACCGTTGTGCAGCCTCTGACTTAATTGCTGTTACCCAGGGCTTTCCACGAGAGTCCTGCACTGCAGGTGGGGCAGGGGTGGCAAAGCTCTCTTGCCCAGCTTAGGCCTGTGAGGCCCTGGCGGGGCTGGGGGATCAGATGAAGTGCCCTCCCCAGGATCAAGAAGGGGCCAAGGGCGAGGCTTTGATGGCCAAAGAGATTTGAGGGACAGAGGCAGAGAGAGACACTTTGCTGGTGCTGTCCTGCTGTGGACCTGCTGGCCACAGGGGCCTGATTCTGGGTTGGTTTATATGACAGGGCGTCAGGCCTGAGCGCCATCCCCACCGTGCGTGGCCAGGCCTGAGTCCCCCACCCCCACCCCTGCATGGCCAGGAGAGGCCATAGGAGATGGTGTCTGGGGAGGCAGGCCCAGAGAGCCACTGAGTGTCAGGTGCAAAGCCAACCAGCCTCATGCACATTCACACCCAGCAGTGAGGATGTGTGGGGGCAGAGGGGGTTTGGGCCAGGTTGAGGCTGGTCAGCCTGACCCTGCTCCTGACTCAGGGTGGCGGGTGCTGAGCCAGAACTCCTGGGCATCTGTCTGATCCATGCCTCGAGTCACAGGCCACATTTTATTTCCTCAGTCCTTCAGCAGTTGCAGATAGCCTCCATGGGTCTAACCAAGAGGCCCTGCCCAGGGAGAGTCCAGCGGGCATCCTGGAGGAAAGGATCTGTGTCCAGCAGTGTTTTGTGCAGGAGGAAGGCTGGCTGCTGCTCCCAGCAACCCCGAAGGCCTGGGGCATGAACAGCATGGAGAGTGTGTTCTGTAAGCAACTCTACAGGTCCAGGGGAGCAGGGAGGCTGGAAATGACTCTGGGGCCTCCACTGCCATGAAGGGTCCTCCAGGCAGGGAACGTGGCTATGCCACATGGGGCCACTGAAGACAGGAGCCAGGAGGATGGGAGGGGCCCTGGGTGGGGCTGCGTGATCTCAGGCTACCCATGCTCTTCTCCAGGCCCCCCCTTTCCCCCGAGCACTCTTGAGTCTAACAGGTGGGGTGTGGATGGGACAGGAACTTCCTCCTGGGGGCCCAGTCAGAAGGAGGCAGGGCCTGGTCCTGCTTCCAACACCCCCTGCCTGAGCCCAGAGCAGCTCAGCCCAGCCCTGTAGCAACAGGAGCCCTGGGAGGGATTGTTAAGTCTCGGCTGGGGAAGGAGGTGGTGGTGGTCCTCTGGGACCAGTAATTAAAACCCAGCAGATTGCAATTCCCTAAAAGAAAGCCTGGCATAGAGGGAGGAATAGCACCCAGGGCCCGGGCAAGGGCCCAGGAGAGGTCGAAGCTTCCTCCGCATGAGTCCTCTGGGGTGCCAAGCCCCAGAACCTTAATTTCCAGTCTTCAAACCCTCCTTGTGCAGAAGGGTTCCTGCCATCCCCACTTTTCAGGTGAAGAAACAGATTTTTAAGAGGTCAAGAAACTCTTGTTTGAGATCCCATGGGCCAAGAAGCAGCCATCGAGGACCTTGGGCTGAGCTGCTGTACAGTGTGATTGACTTAGGAGAACAGACTCCCCCCCCCCACCATAAATGGAACTAACCTTTGTGAGGCTCTTCCTCCCTCACTGATCCCACAGATTCCCACCGAGTCCATTCTCAAGCCAGGGACTCCTGCATTCCTCTTGTCCCATACTGGACTCTGTTATCATCCCCAGAGCAGGGCCCAAAGAGGCCCCTGCCGCCCAGTGGCCGGTCAGTTTGTCACCTGAGTGTATTTCATGTCCTCCCTGTGGCCCTGACCCAGAGGCCGTTCCCTCCCACACAGGGCCAGCCCCTTCTCTAAGTAGACCACCTGTCTTCCACAGAGAGTAATTGAGGCTGAAGAGATGATGTCCCCTGATGGGCGCTGTTTGGCCAGCACAAGTAAAAAGAACATCAAATTTCACATAAAAATCTACTTTTTTTTGCTTTTCTTTTAAAAACCCAGCAAGAGGGCATTGCCAGTCTAAGGGCACCCTAGACAGAGCACAGGGGCTGCCACCTGTGGCAGGGTAGCACCCCGTCCCCAGCTTTGACCGCGGATCTGACCCCACTACTCTAGGTTTCCCTGAACAGCAGGCAGATTACGTTTTTGAAGTTGATTAAAAGTCACAGCCGAGGACCTGATTGAAAACCGGGTTTTGAAGGTGTTTTCCAAGAATTCTCCCCCCCCCCATAAAAGGAGTGGGTACCCCAGGTGGGGCAACTGACCGGGAGGTGGGAGGTGGGAAAGGGCTCAGAATACTCGGGGACAATACCATGTTCCCTTTGCCTGTCAAATACTTGGTTGGCAAAGCCTGAATACCAACTCTGAAGGGATTCTGCTTGTTCTAGAACATGATGCATTCATTGCAATCAATCATGTGACCCTCACGGCATCCCTGACAGGGCATCCTGTGGGGGCTTTTGTTCCCATTGGTAGCAAACCAGAAAACTGGAGCTCAGAGAGGTGAAGTGACCTGCGCTGGGTGCCGGTGAGGACAAGACTCTGACAAGGACTCCTACCCCTCCCTCCCAAGTCCAGCGCTCCACCTGAGCTAAGCCCCTGTAGAAATGGGCTCGGAGGTGGTCTTTTTTTTTTTTTTCCTTGTGCATTTTTAAGAATGCTCTTTTTAGTTAATATGCGGGAGGGATTTCGGTGTTCTCGTACATAACCTTTTGCTGAAACGAACACGTGCGATAAAAGGGTCCCAGGAGAGCTGGTGTCATTTGGGCTGGGAGGGACAGAGAATACCAATGCAGGAGACTCTCCCAGGAGCCAAGAGACTGGGGGTGCTCAGCCACCGCCACGGCCCGGCCCAGCGACCTGCCCCCCCCCCCCCCCCCCCCCGTGTTCATTCAGATTCAAGTTCAATTCTGGTTTTCTTTATTCTGCTCCCATTTTGGGGTGAGGATCTCAGTTCCAGAGGAGGGAGGCCCTCCTGGACCAAGATGGGTGATGGACCAAGGATGTTTGGGGGACAGATGTCAACGCCCCTTTTCTAGGCAAGAGCTGGCTCCTTGGGGGTGTCCGTCAAAGAGCCCACGCTAAGGGCACATTGAAGGGCAGAGTCGAGTTCTATTCACGTCTGCCCTTGGATCCCAAAGGATCAAAAAAGGGGGCTTGGGAGGTTCCAGTTAATTGAGGCTGGTTCTAAATTGGGAGTCTTAATAAATGGTAATTATCCTCCTGTGGGAGCAGACCAGAGCTAAGCAATGCCTCTGGGAGTGGAGATCGTGGAGCCAGAGCCCCTTTTCCTCCCACCCACTCACCTAAGGGCTCTGAGAATTTCCCCCTGCCGAGGCGTCAGGGACACTGGTGTAGGACAGATCTGGAGCAGGACAGGGTCTCATTACCTTCCTCCCATGTGTACCCGTGTAGGCTTAACTGCATGTCTGTGTGCGCGTCTGCGTGTGAGCTCCTTGCACATTCATGGGGCACATCTGAGTGCGTACACATAAGTTTGTGTGCTGGTACTGGTCCATTCTGCACTCACCTACCTCCTGGTCTCCTCCTCCAGCACAGCTGCCCGCCCCCTTGTCTCCTCCACCTGCCATGGAGCAAGGAGTCTCAATCTGAAGTTACAGCAGGAGAAGGGCTGGATGTGTCTGGAGAGCGGTGCTTGGCTGTGTAAGCAAAGATGTCAGAGCCTGATTCTGGGTCCTGGGCTCCCCAGAACATGTTGAGCACCCCGTCTTAGTAGGTATGCAAGCAGATACCAAATGTGCATCTTCTTCTCTTTTGTAGTCTTTTCTAACTTCTTGGGCCATGAGTTTCCCCAGTTGGTACCAAGGCTGCCCCATCTTGTCAACCCAGACTAGCTGGGGAGTGTGACTGACAGAGGGCCTCTGCTCCTTGGTATCCCCAGAATTTGACCCATGAGAGACCTGGGAAATGGGGGTGAGGTTGGGTGCAGGTGTGGGAAGTAAGAGAGTGGATTTGTATGTGAATCTGTGTTGTGTGGGCGTGGGGGGGTGGCCACAGGTGTTGGGTACCGTGTTTCCATGCTGTCTGTGTTGTGTGTGGCTCTGAAAGGTGGGACCAGGTATTTCTGTGCCCTGTGTAAGTGTCACCATGAAATGTAACTATGTACACTTGGGCAAGTGCTGGTGTTGATGGGGAGGAGGCTGTGCCAAAATCTCCACCAACTCCATCTTGGTTCATTTCTCCCCCCCACCCCAACCCCTCTCACTCATCCTGCCCCCAGGACAGATTCGGAAGGTTCCCAGACACCAGCAGCCCTCCCCATTCATGCTCCCTCGTACCAGAGACATCAGCACCTGCAGCATAGCTCTTGACTTCATCCTTGTTCCTCAGACAAGGACAGACCCAGCAAAGGGTCAGGAGGTCCCAAGGGACCAAAGGAACAAGGGAGGAGGTCTGGTCACGGCACAGCCTCTCCTGGGAGATCCTGAAGGAAGAGGGTCTCTTGAGTTTCTGCTGCCTCTGGGCCAGATAGGGAGACCTTGGCCATGGGCATTTCCAAGCAATCTGGAATATTTCCAGAAACGGGATGTTTCTAGAAATGAAACAGTAGCACTCTGGAGACATTTCTAGAGATGAGATGGTCAGCATTTCTGGAGGAGGGGCATTTCCAACAATGAAACGGGCATGTTTGAAGATAAAATGAGAATACGTCTAGAGATAAAGAGGATTATTATTATTTTTTCTTTTTCAAGTAAAGAGGAGGCCTTTCTAGATTCTGAGCATGGCCAGAAATGTAACATTTCTGAGAAGGAAATCTTTCTAGAGATAAACTGTAGTGCCTCTGGAAGTGGAGTGATTTTTGAAGATGATGCTGGAGTATTTCTGGAAATAAAATAGGGCACTTCTGGAGAGGAGGTATTTTTGGAGCTGAAATGCAACATCTCTGGAGATGGGATTATGGCATTTCTGGAAGTGGAACACATTCTTGGAGTTAGGATGGAGTCTTTCTGGAGAGTGCCGGCATTTCTGGAGATGGATCATATTCGAAAATAATAGGAGACGTTTCTGGAGATGGAATCTTCTGGAGTTGAAGGATTTCTTGCTTAGAAGGAAGCATTCTTGGAGAGGAAGTAAGTCATTCTCAGAGAGAAGGGATGTTTTTGGATTGAGAATGGACTTTTCTGGAAATGTGAGGGTTGGCTATTTGAAGGTCTCTTGAGGAGCAGATAGGAGAGGGTCTCATGTGGCCCAAAGAGTCCCCTTCTGTGACTTTTATTTTGCAGGAGATGGCTCTGACCCCAAAAGGTAGGCTGCTACCTGGCTCACTCCTGTGAGTGGCAGAGCAGGCCTTCTGGGGACCTTGCAGAGGTCAGCTGCTGCCGTTATCCTGTCCCCCCAGGCTTATACAGGAATCCCCAAGCCCCACCCATCCTCCTCTCAGTGTCCCTACCCCACCCTGCTGGGCCTCCATCCTCATCAGGGACTACAGAATGGTTCGATTTTTATTAAGTTCAGTTTTTTCAGAGCTAGCCGAGGCTCCCTTTTCAGACCCTCTGACCCCCAACATCCCCTACTTTGGAGTAATAACCCCTCAGGCTGAAGGATTGGAGTGAGGGCTAAGGATTGGACTGACCATGGGCAAAGGTCCACATCCCTGCTTGGACCCAACCTAACTATGGGGGTGTCCAGCCACCTACTCCTGCGATACTGAGACCTGTCTCCACTTGAGCTACTCTGGAGCCCCAGAGTAACTATTTTTCTTTGTTAATTGAAATTTCAACCTCAATGATCCAGCCTTGGAAATGTGAGGAGGTAGAGACGGCGGGAAATGTCCCCTCCCCTGCTCCCAGAAGGAGGGAGGCAGTGTCTTGGCCACTATTCCCCGGGGGACAGGTGGCTTCCTGTGTCCTAGACATTGGTGATGGGGTACAGTATCCAGGCCTGTGGCTCAGGGCGATGGGGGCAGGGGGCTCTCAGGGGGGCTCAGAAGAGTTGGCCTCCCATCCCTGACAGTTTGGAGGAAGGTGGGGAGGAAGGACCTGAGGCAGGTGTGGAAATGGGGGCAGCTGGGGTGGGGGGGGGTGCTGAGCTGGGGTAGCAGGAGGAAGTGGGGTCCCGGGAGAACCGCTACCTCCTCTCCATCTGGTGGGGACCTGGAGGGTGGCTGGGGTGGGGTGAGGGGCTGTGACTCAGGCAGAGTGTGATGATGGCCGATGGCTGCAGGCCCAGTTCCTGGTTCAGCGCTGGGTGAGGCGGCTGGCTGGGTGGGCTGGGCCAGGCTGGGGGGGGGGGCAGCGAGGAGCCTGTTTTCCCGGCTGGCTGCGGTTGGGCTGGGCGGAGCATCCGGGCTGGGTGCTGGGTCACCCCCCCAACACACACACACACTCACCACACTGGGTCACCACACACACACACACGTACTCTGTCCCTCTCCTCCTCACTCACCACCTGGGTGGTCTCTGCCGCCCCACTGAGCCCTGCCTGGCCTGTCTGCAGGAGAAGGGGGGTGCAGAGGACTCCTGAGGACCAGTGGGGAGCAGGGAGAAGCCATGGACTTAAGCCTGCCTCTCCTCTGAAGGGTGACTCCGTGGTGCCGAGGCTGCCAGCCTCGGGTCACATTTGTCCAGACACAGACAGACCCAGCCCCGGGCCAGGGAACTCCGTGCTCGAGCCTGGGTCCCCAGGGCCTGCGGGAGTCCTGAGAAGCTGCTTGTGGGCCTCTGGGTCTCAGTCATCCCCATGTGGGAAATAGGTCTGCTTGGTGGGAATTGTTGGAACCCAACGGAAAAGTGCTCAGCTGTTGTTGTGAACCCACATGCCCTGGACAGCCCAGCACCCTGTACACAGGAGGCACTTGGGGAAGGGCAGGAGCGGTCATCAGGGTGATTTCTGAAATGGCATTTTCCTGGCATCCAGGAAATGTCTGTTGACAGGAGCACCCTGCTCAGACTCTTTCTTCCCCCCTGGGTGAGGCAAAGGGAGTAAAAACTGGGAGTGGGGAGAAGCAGGAGGCAGCCACCTCCCCACACACATGGGCTCACACACACACACACACACACACACACACACACACACACACACACACACACACACACCCCGGAGGCCACCGATCCTCTGAATGCTCTCTGAAGGATGCATGCTCAACAAGGCCCTGTGGCGGCAGCTCCGCAGACTCCTGGCTACACATTCACGGCTGGTGGTGGTTGGGGATGTGTGGCTCTAGTTGCCCTCCAAGTGGGAGTGGGGGGACAGAGGTGGCTGGACAGGACAGGACACATCAGGCCCCCAGGATTCGGTGCAATTGAAAATGTCCTATCCTCTTTGCAGTCCACTGGCTTCCCAGCCCTGACCCTGACTGGGAGGAGGAGGGGACCGAGGGGGGATGTAGGGACAGGTGGGTGATGATGCAGGGAGTTCTAGGACCAGGAAGGCCTGCTGCTTGCCAGACTGAAGATGCTCTGTTCTGTCCAACCTCTAGATCTCCCATCCCCACCGCACACCCAACACCTGTCCCTTCCCCTGACCTCTGCATTACCCTGCCTCCACTTTCTTGGGGATTTTGAAACTGTAGGCTTCCCTGTGTAGTGGCCAGGCTGGGGATCTAGATCTGTTGGGGATGACCTGAGGCCGCCTGGGGTGGGTCTCAGGCGCCAGCTCAGCCAGCCAGTCGGCTGCTGGGGCTGACCTTATCACCTTGGGCACAGACAGGGCAGCAGCTGCCTGCCCCCCCCCCCACACACACACACAGCCACCATCTGAGCTGACATGACTCACCGGTGCAGGCCACTCCCTCTCCCCACTGGGGAGGAGGGTTGGAAGTCTCCAGATGCTGCTGCCTTTGCACCCCCCCCACCACCAGGAGAATCACAGGCCAGACTGAACTCCTGCTGAAGGGGACAACCAGGGATCAGACATTAGCATCCCAGGTGGTGGGGGCTGCTCACCGATACGGGCCAGTCCCCGTGCCTCAGGTGCTGGGCTTGGTGACCATCGAGAGCCTTGGGAGGCCCTGGGGACCCCCACATTCCAGGGAGGGAGAAGGATCTGTGTGGCATTGAGTTGACCAAAATACAAGCCTTTAGGGCTCCTCCCTGCCCCACGCTGTTCCCAAGATCCAGGTCCCCTTCTAGGAGGACCCCAGCCAGCTAGGGGTCGGTTGCCAGTTCTTCCTGTCATCCAAAGAACCCTCAGCGTGGCCACTGGGGTCCTCAGGTCCCAGGTGTACCTCTTTGAAATACCACCCTGACGCAGCTGGGGTCCCCACCCCTCCTATAGCTCCCACTCTGATAGAAATCTGGTTTGTCCCCTCCAAGCCCTGTAGATGACCAGGCGGGTGAAAGAATTAACAGTTGAGCCAGAGCTTTCTACAGGTACAGGCCCTTCCCATCTGGTCACCCTGTGTGTGAGGCAGGAAAACTGGGCTGAGAGACTGGAAGAATCTGCCCCAGGCCACATAGTGGTGGTGGTCCGAGGCCCTGGTTGGGATTTGAACCTGGTCTCAGCGCAAAGCCCTGTTGGCCATACCTCCCCAGAACTCAGCTCCAGGATCAGATGCCTAGTGGGACAATGCGATGATTTTGTGTGTGTGTGTGTGTGTGTGTGTGTTTATCTCTGACCCCCACCCTGTTGCCCACCCGTGTAGCAGCCTCTCCCACCCCCAGATCCTGTCTTGGTTTCCTCCAGAACAAAGCAGCCTCTGCTAGACATGCCAAAGCAGAGCTTTCAATGAGAGCAGGTGAAAGAAACCCAATCTTGCCTTTTGTTACTTTAAGGAGG